GGGAGGGGGGGGGGTTAGTGAGAACCCTGGGGGGGTGACAGAACCTGTGTGAGAAGCCCCCGGTGTAAGCTGACATTCTCTGACTCTGGGGAGATACCCTAGAGCTGGGGGGAGGGGATAAGTAGAATCCTGGGGGGGTGACAGAACCTGTGTGAGAAGCCCCCAGTGAAAGCTGCGGCTGCACTGAGCTTGTAGTGGAGATAAAATGTATCTAAAAGTCAAAGTTTCTTCTTTAGTTTAGTGGGTGGAGCTGGGAACGGTTAGACCCCCTCTGTCAGGTTTTTATTCCTGTCTTGTGTCCCCGCTGGGGAATGGGGGGGTCACCAAGACAGGAAGTGATGGGAAATCCAAAATGTTACAGTTGTCACCAGAAGAGGAAGTGTGGGGAAACCTTCCAACGGGTGACGCCTGTTCTGGTACCAGCTGTCGGAAGCTTCGTCTCACTTCCTGCAGGACAGGAAGTGAGTGTATATCTTTCAATAGGGACACCTGTTCTGGTAACAGCGGTCACAGGCTTCATCCCACTTCCTGTTGCGTCTCTGGGACCGGAAATGAGAGGAAATCTTCCACTCGGGACACCTATTCTAGTAACAGCTGTCAGAGGCTTTATCTCACTTCCTGCAGTGTCTCCAGCACAGGAAGTGAGGGTGACTCTTCCAATGGGGACACCTATTCTAGTAACAGCTGTCAGAGGCTTCATCTCACTTCCTGCAGTGTCTCCGGCACAGGAAGTGATGGTGACTCTTCCAATGGGGACACCTATTCTAGTAACAGCTGTCAGAGGCTTTATCTCACTTCCTGCAGTGTCTCCAGCACAGGAAGTGAGGGTGACTCTTCCAATGGGGATACCTGTTCTGGTAACAGCTGTCAGAAGCTTCATCTCACTTCCTGCAGTGTCTCCAGCACAGGAAGTGAGGGTGACTCTTCCAATGGGGACACCTATTCTGGTAACAGCTGTCAGAGGCTTCATCTCACTTCCTGTTGTGTCTCCAGGACAGGAAATGAGGGGAAATCCTCCCCAGCTAGACATGGTCTGCGGAATTTCATCCACAAAAGGAAAGTTCCGGCTTCAGATATCCTTTGACTAGAGAATACACTTCAATCTCTGTATGAGGACAAGTGGCGGCGGAGGCTTCTCACACAGGTCATTTGCTCTGTGACCGGTCCTCTTTTCGCTCCCCATCCTGAGGTTGTCATTTGATGAGTTTGCACACCATGTCAGAATGTGCTGAGCTGTGATTGGCCGGCGGCTCCGGGTTGTGGAATAGAGGAAGTTCCCTTCCAGAAAATGTTGTGTCCATAAAGAAACCTTTCACTTCCCTGCATGTGACACATCGTATCGCGGAGTGCGTGCTGCTCCAGCCGACGCCATGGGAGCCAATGGGAGCGCAGGTACCGACCCATCGTATGCGCCGCTGTATGACCCCGGAGGGGGTCCGGTCTTCTCTGATCATTTACCCCTCTGCCCACCTCTGATATCTCAGTGGATGCTGGAGAGAGAGAGAGACCCCCTGACAGCCCCCTCCATCCCCCGGGGGTCCTATTGGTGGGATCTGAGTCCAGGGTTCATTTATGAGGGGGTCCCGCTATATCCCCAGGACAGGAGCAGGGGGACCAGCAAGAGGACAGGAGCGGGGGGATGGGAGCAGGGAGATGAGCGGGGGGGACGGGAGCAGGGAGATGAGTAGGGGGACGGGAGCAGTGAAGATGAGTAGTACTTTTTTATTCTTTGCACAGGGAAGCCTGCCTGTGTCTGTCTTTAGTAAATCAACCCCAATGTATGTGAGTATACAGAGGATGATGGGAGTAGTACATGTCAATATACAGAGGATGATAAGAGGTGGTCTATGTCAGTATACAGAGGATGATGAGTGTGGTCTGTGTCAGTATACAGAGGATGATGGGGGTTGTATATGTCAGCATAAAGAGGATGATGGGGGTTGTATATGTCAGCATAAAGATAGTAGGTGGATGGGAGCAGGGAGAAGAGCGGGGGGGACGGGAGCAGGGAGATGAGTAGGGGGACGGGAGCAGTGAAGATGAGTAGTACTTTTTTATTCTTTGCACAGGGAAGCCTGCCTGTGTCTGTCTTTAGTAAATCAACCCCAATGTATGTGAGTATACAGAGGATGATGGGAGTAGTACATGTCAATATACAGAGGATGATAAGAGGTGGTCTATGTCAGTATACAGAGGATGATGAGTGTGGTCTGTGTCAGTATACAGAGGATGATGGGGGTTGTATATGTCAGCATAAAGAGGATGATGGGGGTTGTATATGTCAGCATAAAGAGGATGATGGGAGTAGTATATGTCAGCGTACAGAGGATGATGGGAGTAGTACATGTCAGTTTACAGAGGATAATGGGAGTAGTACATGTCAGCACACAGAGGAAGATGGAAGTAGTACATGTCAGTGTCCAGAGGATGATGCGAGTGGTCTGTTAGTGTACAGAGGATGATGAGAGTGGTCTATGCCAGTATACAGAGAATGGGAGCGGTCTATGTCCGTGTACAGAGGATGATGAGAGTGGTCTATGTCCGTGTACAGAGGATGATGAGAGTGGTCTATGTCCGTGTACAGAGGATGATGAGAGTGGTCTATGTCCGTGTACAGAGGATGATGGGAGTGGTCTATATCCGTGTACAGAGGATGATGGGAGTAGTCCGCGACCGGTTGGGCTCTGTATGGGATACTTGGTACCATCGCCGGTGACGTAATGTTGGGGGCGGAGCTCCTCCTCCCGGCATGCCCCGCGCACTGTGCCCGGCTCTGCAGAGATGAGGGAGGTGCAATGGAGACAGGTGAGGGGGAGAACCC